TGTTTACAAATCAGCACCTGAGGGAGAGATCGGTCGACTCATGTTTTCTCTTCTGTGTTAAATGATTCTTGCTTGGCTTGATTTGCATAGGAAAAAAACAAACTTTTTACAGGCATTCTATCAAATGCCCACCTGGCCCCTTTTTCTGCCAGCCCTGCCACCCTGGAGAGTTTCTTCTGCAATTCAGGGGAAGGTCCAACTTGGATCAGAATTTGTCCATTTTTCTCCAATTTATCCCAGTTCTGGGAATCCACACCCACACGGCTTGCTTGCTCTCCGGTTTAAAGGGATACAAACGGCACTAAGCTGAGCAGCAGACATAGGAAAGAAGACAGGCACCCTCTTGTCTGTGCTGCTCCCTTGGGGACAAGCTTCCAGCAGTTGCTGGTTTGCAAAGAGCCTGGAGCTGTGGGGGAATTTTGCAAGGGAAAAGGTTGCTGCCAGTCACTGCGGCGCTCCGGCATGACTGCGCCCGCGGGACAAAGTGACTGGGGCAGCTGGAGGGCATTTGTCTTTGCCACCTTCGGTCCAAGTGGCACATAAATTAATGCGAGTTACTCCTGGAGTTCTTTCCCAGGCAACACCTTCTCACACTTATGAACAAGACTCTTGTCTTCCTCCTCGGGCATGCGGGGAAGGAGCGAGGGAAGGTGACTCCGCCAGCGGTTCAAAGTGTCGCTGCAGAATAAGGCGATTCTGTGGCACGTCTGGGGCGCTTGCTTTCAGGGCCAGGCCTTGGCTGGCTTGTCCCGACATGGCTTCTGCGTGGAAACGCCTCTGGACGGGCACCGGAGCTCCTTTGCGCCGGTGACACAGTTCCATCCAGCGAGTGCTGAGACGGATCACCTGAGACGGATCACTGGCCTCACTATCCAGGAGAAAATTCTGGCATCAGTTGGCTACACATTGCAATGCACCATTTCAAGTGAGACTTTGTCCTAGTCTTTACAAAAGGGGAATGGGAAACAGGGAGAGACAGAGAATCTTTCACAGGCTCCAAGGACTTGATAGGAGCGAGGCTGATGCACAGATGCTGGTGTGGTGATCTGGCCTACACAGGTTCAGCAACCAGGCCTGGGCGACAGGCAGCTGGCCCCAGCAGGTGCCCCTGAGAGGGAGAGAAGCCCATCCTGCCAGCCCCCAGGTGCTCTCGGGCCCTGGGAGATGCTGCCCACACATCCCTGGGGGGCCTCCTAGGCTGGACTCCTCCGTGAGCCCCTGGGTTTTGCTCCTGCAACTTGTAAGCTGTTTGCATGACCAGTAACATGGCACGCCCCATTGCGAGCCTCCCTCTTTTCAGCCCAAGATGGAAGGACCGCCAACTTCACTTTCCAGTGGAACGGACCATTTCCCCACTGCCTGGGTAGAGACTCCAAACTGCCTCGTCCTGGCCCAGTGCCAGCCCTGGAAGGCACTCCGGAAGATTGTTCGTCGTGGAGTAGTCCATAGGCTTGTCGAGCGGAGGAGCCTGGCCTTGGCACGGCCTCAGCCGGGGCCTCTTCCCTGCTCTGCCCCATCCAGATGGCCTGGCTTGGGCCTGTCGCTTCGCCGAGACCAGCAGCCCGTGGCCAGCGGGGGGCTCCTTCTGGAAAGAGGGAGCCCTGGGCAGAGAGAGCAGGGGCCTGCACTGACGTGCCACAACCCTGTGGTGCTCCATCAGAAATGGCACTTGCCTCCCTCCACGCCTTCCCTTGGTCTTTCAGGGCCCAGTCCAGGGGAGGACAGAGGGCCAGGGGCCAGCAAGGTGGTCCGGTCTGTTCTGCTCCTGTATCGCCTGACGAGCCATCCAAGCCTCCCTGTCTTGCGAGGGGGACCCGCCACCTGGCTGCTTGCGTCAGTCATGGAGGGGAAGGCGGAACTCACGGGAGGAAGCTGTCTTCCAGGAGGAAAGGAAGGTGCTTCATGGACCAGGACCAGGACCAGGACCAGGACCACGCTTGGCATCTTTCCTGAGGTGGAAAGGGCCGGGAGCATGAGGCGAAAGGCGGCGGAAGGGCTGTTGAACTGGACTCTGGCACACGGAGCATCCCGGCCAGGCAGGGGTCTCAAGGCTAAGCCAAGGAACGCCACTGGACTGCTCCCAAAATCCTGGCCCCTCGTGGTGTGCTCTGGGTGACAGCCACAGATCCTCACAGCCATCCGGGTGGGCAGGGGGCAAGCGGAACACCTGGTGAAAGGGGGCGCCAGCCGCCGTGGTCGGGGCCTCTCGTTTTGTGGCTTCGGCACGTCGGCTGATGCTTTTAAGGGACTGCATGGAGATGACGGCTTGCACCTCTCCAGCTGCTCCTGTGAGTGTGAGATGGTTCCACGCCCCCTGCGTGGATGAGCTGGGCAGTGCTGCAATGAGCGAGCGCTGTTTGCGCAGGGCAGATGTGGGGATGGGAGAAGGGGGAACAAACTCAAAGGGGGCGTGCCAGTGACCTGCTGTGGGGTCTCCTTGTGGGGCTGCCCTTAAACTGCCCCGGAAGCAGGAGGGAGAGCGAGACGCAGGAGCACAGCTGTGGCCTTCTCTGCTCCCCGATGCATCGCTGCTCACTGCCCGTTCACCACGGGGCCGAGTTTAAGACTGTAGCACTAGTGCACAGAGCCCGGGACGGCTTGGGACCGGCGTGCTGGAGAGCACCTTCCGCCAGAGCCCTACCGTGCTTCCATTCTGTTAGCTGCTTGCCACGCTGCAATCTGCTTAAATGTGGCGCGCTCTGCCGTGGCCCATAGATAAAAAACGTCCGTGGCTCAGGTGAAAGTCAGTGCAATTTGCAGCTCTGTCGCTTTGTCCGTGATACAAACTTTCAGTGGTGCTCCTGGAAAATACTGCAGGCTGGCTTGGCTTAGGTTCAGTCTGTGTCTCTGGGGCAGCACAGGCAGCCCCTCTAAATATTCCTTGCTCCGCTTCCTTGCGCATTTTGCCTGCAGTTCAGCTTGGATGTCTCACTGCAAGCGTCAGTTTCTGCGGTTACCACACAAAAACAACAATATCTAAGAAAAAAGCACTACCCTTGGCTATATCCAAGCAAACAGGCGCCTGACCCACAAACACACCATGAAAGGGCTGGACACAAGGTCCCCAAGACAGACTCTCAAGGTAATTTGGTAAATGCTAAGAAGTCCGATGATTATACGAGTGTGAAACACTAGATGGCACTAGAGAATGCTTTCAGCACAAGTCCTGCCCTCAAATCTTCTGTCTTGGCTTGGCACTGTCATACGGAGTTTTGCATTCGATCGCTGTCTGGAGCAGTTCCCCACACAGCTGTCTCCTACGAACAGAAGCTGAGCTAATAAATGGCAAGCTGTTGGCTAACCAAAGGAAGCTCAGCTGGTTAGCTGTATCAGCTTTATGATGCTACTTCATGCGTGTTTTCTGAGAAGCTTTACTCACAGGTAAATGGATAAGGCTGCTGCCTGGGCCATTCCATTAGCTACTTCGAGGGCAATCCTGTGGCCCACAGATGAGTGTCCCAGAGGCCATAGGATTGGTAACCCCCCCTACAGAGTCGGAGTCTATGCTCCAACTTTGGAAGGGGGAGACAAAGGTCGGAGAGTCAACCTCATAGAGGCAGAGAAGGGGGATCTTGGTGGGCAGGGAGGGAAGGGGCCTGGGGAGGGGGACCTCCCAAACACATGTCACGCCGCCGCCACCAGCGGAACGGATCGGTGCAAAGACCGCCCCTCTAGCTAGGGAAAAGCAGCTTGGCCCATTTTCTCCTCCCCTGCCCTTGAATATCCCTTCCCCTTCCATGGAGACAGCCCTGCTTCCTGCAAAATGCAAAGCTCAGATCCGGTTCTCAAGTTGCCCAGGCTCCTCACTGGGAACCACTCGGCAGCAGGATAAGAGAATCCCCTGCGGATCAAGAAAACGTATCTTGCAGCATCCCTTCTGCAAATTAACATAAGCACTGAAGAGTGTGGGAAATCTTTTCATCAACCGCTCTGCGTGTCCGAGTGAGGCTTACCAGAACTGGTCCCAGTACTGGCTTGGCAAGGCCAGCCCCCGGTCCTGCTCTTGTCACAAAAAGCTCCCAGCAGCTCCCATCCCAAAACTCTGCCGGTAGCGAGGAAGGTCCCTGCATGGGGGGGGGGGGGGGTTCTCCAGGGCTGCTGGCTGGTCTCTAGAAGAATTGGAATCGGAAGGGGAGAGGGAGAGGGGCTGGAGCAGGAGGGGCCACGGAGTGTGGCCTGCCAAGACCCCGTGGACAGCAGCTGGGATGCTCCTCACGAAGACCAGGCTGCCCAGGTGGGCAGGGAAGACCGGAGACGTGAGCAGGACAGGGCCTGGAGTGGGGGTTTCTCGGGCAGGTGAGGCAGGTACAGCTCTCGCCCAATTAGGGGGCTGGTGAGCAGAGAGGAGGCGAGCCTATTTTCCAACGTCCCAGGCACATTCATAAGGAGAGTTCCTGGAGGGGAATACTAGATCGGCCTCAAGGAAGCACTCTAGGCATGCTCAGAGAGTCATTGCAAGTATTTGAGCTTCTGGAAAGCCCTTTAAAGGCTTTCAAAAACCTGATTTGTTAGGATAACGTAGGTGAAAAGGCTTTGCATAGCTGGTAAATATTATTTTAGAACGTGCATTTTCATTAGGGCATCTGGGTGGAGGAGTGGAGACGTGTTCCTGAATGAACACTGACACAAAGACACGCAGACTGCTTTGAAGAATAGCCGGGGCACCAGGAATGCACAAAGCCTGCGAAGGATTCGGGGCCTGGCCTTTATTCGCTTGGTAAAGCCTAGTGGGAGAAGTCAGAACAAGCCTCAGAGCTTGTGGGCTCTTTGATACATGATCCTATTCTCTCTTCTGATAGTGGCATTTAATCCAGATGGAGAGTGTGGAAGGGTTCAGACATGCCATTCCAGAATCCTCGCATTATCGTTAAAACAGGCGATCATCTCAGCAGCTGCTGAAGCAAATTTCACGAGAATGTTATTTACCCTTGCTAAGCAAGATATTAGAAAAATTAGGATCAGGTCAAGAGAAAGCCAACCTTTAAAAGGAGTGGGGGGGGGCATTTTCCCAGATGTTTTTAATTGAGAGCAACTTTTGAAAATCTAGTCACGAACAAATGAAACCAATGTAGGCAACAGTATGCTTAATATAAGATAATACAAATCTGCATGGTTGATTAATCTTCAGATTAACAGAGAACACAGGTTTGTGTTGGTGAATATTCCCTTTTGGGTAAAGAAGGAACGAGGGGCTGGTGAACGCAAGCCCTTGGTGCTGGGGGTTATTAAAGCAGGGCTGCCTTCAGCCACACTGATGGTGAGGCAGGAAATAGCAGCGGCACAGCCATCGATTTCCTCTGCAGAAGATCTGCCATTCTTGGATGAGATTCTGACACGTTCTGCATTTGCTGCTGCTGGACGCCATTCTCTTGATTTCCACATGGTTCCTTCTCCTGCTTCTCTGTGAATCCAAAAGCGGCTGCAGAAAATTAGTCACCATGCAACATGCCGGATGGACCGTCCCATTTTCTTCTCCCTCGGGAATTCTCCTCCTCGGCCTTCCAAGGCCATGTCAGTGAGAAGCTGCAGCGGGATCTGCCACAGACAAACCCTTCAGCCCACGGATCCCTGGCATTTCAGCTACTCCTGATCGAACAGAAAGCACCACCCCACGGAACATTCCTCTGGCGGCCTTCCCTCCATCGCCTTTCCTTCGAAGCTGGCACTCAGCATCTGCCCCGGACAGGTCGCCTGTGGGGTGGGCCTGCCGGGAGGCGGATGCAGTGGCCTCCCCGGGCTCGTGTGTCGCCTTGGCCGGCTTTGGCCCGCAGCCCTTGGCCCCCTTCCCAGCCTGGTCGTGTTCCTCAGGCCATGCCGGCGCGGAGCCAGCGCTGTCCCTGTGCTCCCACCCTTCGGGCAGGCAGGAACGGCGTGTTCCCAGCAGCCATTCTTTCCATGGAGTGAGAAAATCGAGCGACAACACGCGGGCTACTCACAAAGCCGACCTCCACTGGACTCAAAATCCAAACCCCTCTCTCCCGCTCCCTCTCTTGCTCTCAGCCTCGAAACATCTGTTATCTCTAAGCGGAAGAACTCCGTGTGCCTGTAGGAGAGGCTGAAATCACTGCACTTCCAAAGAAGTCGCGGGTATTATGTCTCCAGAATTGCTTAGATGCTTTTTTTTATACGCAGATCATTTTACATGAGCAAGTTTGGGATGGATGGGGCGGGGGATGAGCGGTTTCCTTTGGGGAACAATATTCTCTGAATCAGAAACAGCACCATGCTTCTAGCAGGAGATATTCAAAGTATGCCTTGGAATGGTTGAGAAAGAGGAGAGGGGGAGGGGGAGGGGGAGAGGGAAGGACGGACGGACGGACGGATGGAAACAAGCCAGCCAGCCAGCCAGCCTCATCCATGACTGCAGCTCCCTGGGGCCTCCTGCTCGCCTCCCCCTCCCCAGCGAAGGGAGTCCAACTTTTTAAGGAACCGTGAACCGGCTCCTCAGAAAAACAAGGCCGCAGCGCCAACTGGAAATGTTTGCTTTGGGGGCGAGCTGGGCGTCTGGCGTCAGGCAGGGCAGCAGGCGTGCCAGTGGAATGTCATCCTGGGAGGAAGCAGCCGGTCCCTCAATCACTGGCAGAGCGCCTGGGAGCCACTGGACGCCTTCGGTCCTGCTTTTAATTGGTGGGTTGTTGTCCGCTTTTCTTCTTAAAAAGAAGACCGACAGCGAGAAGAGGCCTGTCTCCGAACCGGTCGAGCACACGGCAAAAACTCGCAGGCTTGTGCTTCGGGACGCTTCACCCTGGAAGCAGGGTCCCTGCGGCAGCCGTGCCTGCAGCAGATCCTCCCCGGGTGCAGAGCAGCGCTGCCTCGAGGGCCCGCCGTGAGAAGGGGGGCCTGCCGAGGAGAGCAGAGGCCTCCCAGCAACCCCAAGGCTCTCTCCAGCCCCAGTGCCCAGGATCCTTGGGGCTGGGGAGAAGGCTTGGTAGGGTGAGCGAAACAGCAAAGCCTCTGCCTTGGGCAATGCTGCATCTCAGTTCTCGGCAGAAGAGAAGTCCTGGATTCTCTCGGGAGTCCGCTCTTCTGATCAAGGCTGCCCTGATCCCGTTTCTTGGGAGCTCAGCAGACTCCCCCCTCCTGCTTTCTAAGACAAAAGCACAGAGGACGTGGACTAGACTGGGATACCAGGAAGTGTGGCTTCTCTGACCGTGTGTGTGTGTGTGTGTGTGTGTGTGTGTGTGTGTGTGTGTGTGTGTGTGTGTTTGTATGTGTGGGTGGCAGATGAAGACGCTGTGTACACTCCTGCAGAAGCACAACACGGTGATTCGCTCGACACGGGAGAATTTCTCCGCACTCCCGACACCTTCCCAGTGCCTTCAGTCACGGTGCCGTTCAAGAAAAGTCCATGTGGGGAATGAGCGAGCTGCATGCAGAAGGAGGGGGGGGGGCTCGTTCGGTTCTCCCCTCCCTCCCCGTTGGACTGGCATTGCCTCCTGGCGCGAAGACCGGCTGTGCCCGATGGGCTCCATCACGTGGACAATGCCGTGGAATGCGAAGCATGCTTCTTGACGGCTCGCGCCACTTCCCTCCCTCCGCCTGCCCATTTGAAGGGCCTGATCCTGATTCATTAGCCTTGACCCGCTCCTCTCTCCCTACCGCACGGTGCAGCTTGCACTGTAAAAAGCAAAAAAACACGAACACTCAACAACAGTCTTCACAAGAACAACAGTTGCAGGCAGGGGCAGATGAAGAACAAACCCACAACAGCAAATGAGAGGGCAGAGAGGAGGCGATGGAGACACAGAGAGAGAGAGAGAGAGAGAGAGAGAGAGAGAGAGAGAGAGAGAGAGATACGGGCCTGCTTGACTTTTCCTTGGACACCTAAATGGTGTTTCATATTTAGGGGCCTGATGGATTTCCAGCGACGGGAAATCCTACAAGCTTGGGGCCACTACTGTAAAGAATCCAGCATGCATTCCTGCCCAGCCTTTCTTTTGAAGAGAGCCTTGTGGCTAATGGGGCGGGCGAGAAATTTAATAAATAAATGAATAAATCATGGCTAATGGGGTGGGCAAGAAATTTAATAAACAAATAAGCAATAAATAAATCATGGCTAATGGGGCGGGTGAGAAATTTAATAAATAAATAAATAAATCATGGCTAATGGGGTGGGCGAGAAATGTAATAAATACATACATATTTAGCTTTTCTTGGGCACTGTAAAACAGCCAAGCTCTTGGCCGCCTAAGCGCCCATAAGGGTTTGTCCAGGGCAGAATCTCAGCTGCACTGATGGGCAGCCTTGGGTGTGTGAAGATGACCCAAGAGATCAGCAAGTTTATTTATTTATTACGACATTTTTATGCCGCCCCATTCGCCGAAGCCTCGGGGCGGCTTACAACATGAAGTTAAAATACAAATATATTAAGTTAAAATACAAACATTAAATTAAAATGTTTGTAAAGTGTAGACATAAAGTTAAAACGCAAAAATAGCAATATAAAATAAGTGGGAAGCCACTCAAGGCTCACAGAAGCCAAAGACGATCTGCCAGCTCAGCTCACGCTTCAAGCAGGAGGATAATTTCCGGCTTCCTCCGTGTATGTCTCTGCCACACTCTCCTCCCTCCTCTCGTTCACCTGGCACATTGTTTAATGACCTGGGGGGCATGACCAACTATGAGGAAGCTGAAGAAATGCTGCAGATGTTATCCAATAATACAGAAATGATATTTCCTTGTGGGAAAAAGGAGATGAAAACATACCGAAACGAGAGGCGTCCAGAGAGGAAACTGAAACAAAGAAAAGGAAAGTGCAAATTTGCCGGGTCAGAAATTAATTATGTATAAAAAATAAGGGCTAAACCTGATGTAGCTGAAAAGCCTTGCACAAAACACAAGGCGTATCTACAAAGAATTCTAGGAATTGTCCCTTATCTCGCAAAGTCAGTTCCCAAGATGGCGACCAGGGGAGTGCCTTTAGGACGGGTACGGAGCCAAGAGGTTGAGTGAAGCTGGGCACAAATCTGAGAAGCCTCTTCTTGGGATTATGAAGTGGAATTCCTGCCTGTGGGTCGTGGCTCCGGTGAGGGGGCCCGGCTCTCTCATGTTACCTAGAGATGCATCCTTCAGATTTGGAGGGGTGGAGTAGGACGTCTCTGCAGCTTCAGGGTCACCTGGTGAAGCTTCTCTGAGTGGGAGAAGCAGCCTGCCTTGGAAACGGAGGAGACATTTCAGAACAGGGAGGGGGGGAGGTAAAGGGGGGATCCTTGACCCCCCTCCCAGGCCTTTGCCCTGGAGATGACAGGCAAAGTGAGCAGACCAGTTGAGGGGTGTCCTGTGCGCACCATCTGGCCCTCCAGCAGTTGGAGCTGAGGGCGGACCTAGGGCCTTTCTGAAAGGGAGGGAAGGAAGGAGATGTTCCAGTTTAGAGTCAGCTCTTCACATGGGCAGAGGCACTCCCCCATCTCAAAATCAGTTTGTGTGGTTTGTAATCCACAGAGCTCAAACAGGACTGCGCTCCGGAGGTTTCATCGGTCTGCTGGAGGAAAAAACCGTGGAGGGGAAAAGATGCTCTCCCAGGGATGAACCCCCCAGGGGGTCCGCGGCCTCCACACCGCCTGCCTTCAGCTTGGCCAAGGCTCAAGGGTTGCCCACCTCCATTATTACCTGAGCCCTGCGACAGTTGGCCTCTAATATGCCTTTTGGCAAACGCTTCGGTTCATCCCGCAGCCTAGGGCTGGCTTTGCCTCCCCGTTCTGGAGTTCGCTCCAAGGACTGCCGCGTTGTTCTCAGCCCCCTTTTAAGCGGGGACCACCACTTTCCTGCTCGCCCAGCACCCTCCGATGGCCTTATTTGGCGCTGGCTGAGTCTGAAGAGCCCTCTTGTGCACGGAGCCGGCGCGCCCGCGGCAGCCGCCACAGAGACACCCAGGTGCTGCGGGGGGACGGGAGCTGACACGAGGCAGCAGCTGCGCCGCTGCCCGGAGGCCGGCGGGGTCCACTCGGCACCTGGCGCGTCCCGGGGCCTCTCCGGTGCGAGCAGCTGGTGACAGAGGCCTCGCGGCCCTTGGCGAGCTGCGCTTACGGGGCTAAGTGATAAATCAAACACGCTGCTGGCAGGATCGAGTTCTTCCGTCCACAATGATCTAAGGACAAACGCGCCTGCAGGTCAAATTTGGGAAAGCTGGCTTGGCATGAAAAATGGGCACAGCAGGGTGGAGTCTGGGTGAAAGAGCCCCCCCCCCCCCCGTGGCACTCCTGCAGCTACGAGGTGGCCTTGACCACCCCAAAGCAGCCTCCTAGCCCCCCCCCCCGCCCTTGCCGGGGACGCTTGCACAGTGCAGGTGGAGGGCGCAGCGCTTTGGCCCAGCTCTCGGCGGCCTGCAGGCGTCAGCTGGGGATGGAGACTGGACAGCCAGGCACGGACGGACTCCCCTGGGACAGCGCAGTTTTATTTTCAATGTCTCTTCCTGGCTGCTGCTTCCACCAGACGATCGCTACAGGATTGTTATCGACAACAGCGTTTTCCAAGGAAAAATGGCTTGCGACTCTGGCCGGCCCGGCGGGTTCTGGGGTCCGCTCGCATCTATGGGCATCCAGCCATCAGCATGTTGCCGTGTGTTGCATTCCTGCACTTGCTAGAGCCCCGCAAGCTTCTCCAGGGTGCATGCAGAGTGCCACGCACCAGTACAGCATTAATCCAGCCAGATCTGGGGGGGGGGGAGGGATGCATCCTCCGGCCCACTGCAGCCCCGACCTTACCAGCACCACCAGCAGTGCTAAAAGCAGGTCAGTGCGATTGCTGTGGCATCGCAAGGTTTGGGCGCCACTGCCAGGGGTCTGGCCCTGGCAGCTTTCACAGCAGTGGCTCGGGGGCCAGAGAGCCCCACAGCCCACAGGCCACGGGATGAACATGCTTGCCTTAAAGTATAAACTCAGCGCGGATCAAAGACTCCTGTGATAGCTGGTAACCATGGCATGTGTTTATGCACTCAGCCATGCATATAGTTGCTTGCTTTTTACTTGCTTGTATACTACTTGGTGGTTTTTGAATATTTAATAAAATAATAGAAGAGAAGATGAAATCCAACATCCCCATGATGCACAAGAGCCAAGTGTGGAGGAAAATGCCATTAATGTAGTTATTCCCTTTTCCTGCTCTAGATTACAAACCAATGGCTATTTGGAACACCCAGAAAGCTTCTGATCCCTTAGACATTCTACCTGCCCCTGGATCCAGTCTCGGGAGGATGTTTTTGGCGTGCGTGCCCACATCCGGCCATGAGCTGCCTGGTCCAGTGTGCACACAGGTGTGTGTGAGAGAGGGAGAGAGAGAGAAACCACCAGGTCTTGGTTCAGGACCAGCATTTGCGGAGAGCCACAGCTACTGACCTGGGACCCGTGAGAGGCGGTTCTGCTTCCTCAGCACCTTGCCCAACTGGTGGGGCCAAGAGCGGCCGCCCTGCTTCACTCCAAGCCAGCGCTCGCCCTCTTGGGGCGCTGGCAGCCGCCCACTCACGTCCTCTCCCTGGGTCCTGCAGCTCAGCGCACGCAAAACGGACCGCCCAGCCAGATTCGCAGCTTGTGTGGAGTGAACCTCCCTGATCTGCAGCCATGGCTTTTTCAAAAGGCTCCTCCTGGAGGTACACCTGTCTGTCTCGGAGCTCTGCACCTGGGCTTCCAGGTGAGAGGGGTGCCGGCTACTCGGCAGGACACGGGCTGGGTGGGAGAAGGCTCATCTGTGACCCCCTTCCACCAGCCAGGCCCTGTCCCAGGTGAACACTTCCATAATCCACCCTGTACATGCTTTCTACATCTCCACATAGCTTTAAAAACCACCAGCAGGAGACCACCGGCTTTCCCTTTCTAACAACTCTTTTTATGGGTATTCAGCAATGCTACAGGACTTTTCCTAATGCAGGAAAAATGCTTTTTCATAGTAAATGTGGTTTTCTCTGCTGCTTAATAGTTTAAATCGACTGATTTTATGTATTTGGGTTTTTTATAGAAACATCATACAGAAATGCTATATACACATGTGCATGTGCACACGCACTCGGTTGTTCATATTAAAACTGTTCCTGCAGAAATCAAATGTGGCTTCTCCCACCTGGATTATTTTCACTCCCAGCTTTACACATACCTGCAAATCAGGAGCAAAACTTGGGTGCCCGCCTGCTGGCACCCGGTGCTGTGAGCAGCCATGTGGCATGAAGTGGCACCCCAATTAAAACGAAATGGCTGAACTGCAGCCCTTTCATGGCCCAGTGACCTGCTGAGATACCCAGCAGGCCTGTTCAGCTGAACTTCTGTCTTTGCTCTCCAACACCAGAGTTTAGGGGCTCGTTTAAAAACAGGATTGCCTAAAAAGTTGATTGCAGCTGGAAACAGGGGGGGATGAAAAAGGTTCTTCTTGCACCGAACAGAGAGGCATTTTCCAGACTTTGGTTAGTTGGGGCACACGTTTTTCTCATGTAATGTCAGAGACGTGCTTTGCACCTACACCAAAAGAGGCTGACTTTCGGGATGGTTTTAAGAAACCCCTCTTCTCGCACAGGGTCCCTGGGCAAGACCTCGCTCCTGGGTGCCTCGTTATGGGAAGAAGGAGCATCCGGGCAGGGGTTGGAGGCCCATGTTATTCCAGTCGTGGGCCTCTCCTCAGCTCCAACCATCTGGAACTATGGGGGCTGAGTTTAAACATGCTCTGGGGGATGGAAGTCCCCCACCCCAGTTCACAGGCAGCCTACGTGGGTGGAGAACATCTGGGCACATTCATCTCTGCCTCAGGAAGGAGTGAGGGAAGAGGGTCTGAGGAGGGATGTCCCCAGTAGCTTCCCAAGAGCTTCCCATTCTTGGAGTGACCACTTTCTCACTAGCACTTCCGTCGTGACGCATTGGTTTGTGGCCTGTGGGAATGGAGAGCTCTAAACCCACCGGGAGATTTGGAGAAATGCTCTGAGGTTAAGGCAGGCAGCACGAATGCATGCAAGATTAGCACATGACACTTCCCCTACACATGAACCAAGGGTGGCCGTATGTTCTGTTCTGCACATGGCAGTCCTCCATTTGAAAAGGCCTTCCATTGGAAGGGCTGCTCTTGGTGTAGAGTCCACCAGAGGGATGAAGTCCTGTGTGAACAGCGAATTCACACAGTCAAGGTTAGAACATGCCCTGTAAGCACATGTTCACACCAACACAGATATATTCACGCATTAGGTGGGTTCACACATCACCACAAGCAACCCGGAATGGTTACCACAGTCCATGGTCTTTGCCACGATCCACCCAACAGACAATCCAGGAGCTTCTCTGTTCTGCTCCTCCCCCACACCCACACCCAGCATTATCTTCCTCCTTCCTCCAGTCCTCTGGCACTTCCGGGCACTCCCCTCGGTGGTTCTCCCAGATCCACTGCGAGGTGGCTGCATGGATCTCCAGTCTCTCCCACCTGGCTGCCATGGGTCCAGGTAGGCTCAGAGGATGGAAAACCCTGGATGGGGTTGCCGCTGACCCCCAAATGCGCCACGCTTGGCCTCTGGGGCAGGCAGCTGCAGGCTCTTTTCCAGTGAGACGTCTCCTCAGCACTCACAAACTTGGTTCAGGATGCCACCACACCTTTACCTGCCAGAAGGTGCACTCCAAAGGAAGCCTCCAGCTTGGCTTGGCTGCTCTGGGGAAGCAAGATCAGCCACAGCTGCAGACCCCACCCCAAGGTACCTTCAGCTTCTGGAAGCCTTCATGCTTCTCCACCTATCCCCCACCTTGATCATGTCCACCAGGTGGAGCTCACTGATTAAGCAGAAGTTCTCACGCATGGGAGACCTGCCCACGCTGGAGGTAGTACCCAAGGGAAGGCAGCCAGTGCTGGAAGCCAGCTGGCACGGGATGCTGGTAAGGTGCTTCCTTGGCTTGATCGAACATCTCTTGATCTCCTGACCATGCCTTGCCTCTGAAGCGCTGGCTGCATTTCAAAGGCAATGATCTCAGGCGAACCTGAGGAAAGAAGCGTGAAATCAAGGGCCGTCGCGAGCATCCATGTACAGCATGGAAATCCACAGCTCCTCCTCGTGAGGAAGAGTCCAGCACTGAGCTATGGAACGGCTCACAGGGAGTTCCTCAGCCATCAAAGAAGCAGGAGATGGGGCACGTGCCAGATCACACCCAGCATCCCCTGGGGCATGTCAGTTAATCCTTTTCCGAACAGCCATTCAGTCGAAGAGATTCTTTGAGCAGATTCAGTGGAAGAGTCTGTAGATTTACAAAGAAAAGCCTGGAGCCCATGTTGACGACAAAACTTACTGTGCTCCTGTCTCTTTGGTGTGATTGGAAGGTTACAGGTGAAAGACTTGGAGAGAAAGCTTGTTGGGAAAACACCTTTCCTGGGCTGGAGATGCTGCAACATTTCTCTGCTGGCCAGGCTGCCGGCCTTCCTCCCCGCGTCTTGCGAAGGCGCATGGCACGACTGCCCCACGCTCCGTGCCAACGCCCTTCCTTGGATGCCTGCCCCCTCGCGCAGCACGCCGCTCCCTTGGTTTACCCCAGTTCTGTCCCCAAAGTGGATAAAGTGTGGGGGGGTTTACCCCTTCCCGGGCAACCCCGGCAACAGAATTGCGCCAACCTTTGCCGGCCCATTCTGCACGCCCGAGCACAGGCTCCTGGAGGGGCAGCATCCAGAAGCAGGCGCAGCATCCTAAGCCTTGCTGCAGCACAGATGTGGCAGTTGGAGGCGGCGGTTTCACCCCCAGGCCTTTCACTGACCCCGGCAGCATGGAGTTGGTCCTTCTGTGAGGGCGGCATTCCGCGCTGATGCCTGCGTGTTCGCACGACCCTCGCCACTCCAGCGCCCGCCCCTCCCATTCTGGGGGATCCTTTGCTGCCCTTTTCTGTTTTAGCCGCCTTGAATCCTTGGGGACGTGCAGCAAATCTGGCCGGCGCGTAACTCGCGGCGCGCTGGAAAGGCCAGCCGTGGCTGCTGGGAGAGCCCGGCTCAGCCGCTCCCACCGGGCGGTTCGGCGCGGACGCGCCCGCGCCGCGAGGCACCGAGCCCGCCGCTTCTGCCGCGACGCCCCGGCGCGCAGGTCCCGGGGCGCGGGGGAGAGCCGCGCGCGGCCGG